TCTCTCCACCTAGTTATTATGTACCATATTTGTTTCATTTATGTTACTTGTGTATTGCCCATCAAGTGATCTATTCCCCAATTATGTAACTGTATATTTTCTTCCTTCCGGTTGCCATGCTCTTTCAATAAACCGTTAATTATTATTATTATTATTATTATTATATTTATGAATCCGGGCCGTAGTCAATACAAGATAAAAGCTGAGCTCCCCCTCGTCACGTTTTCTCAGGGCTGCCGTTTTCTTTGATAGTTTAGCCCTAACTCTTGTGTCCTCTTGAGCTATTCGAGCATATGGTCTCCCATTACATACATACAGACATACACACATACATACATACATATACACACATATATACATATACACACATATATATATACATACACACACACACATATATATACTCGTAGGTAGGTAAATAGGGTCAGGTACGGACAAGGTCATGGCAGGTACTGTAAACTAACTTTGTCAGATCAACATGTCATTGACCCTCAGTACCTACACAGAGCAGACTGAACAGCGTGTGTCACCCAGGAATTATTTGTGAGGCCGCGTCAACTTCCATTCTTCCATCACACTTGGAAAATTATATATGTTCACTTGGTTGATGCAGTATACAACTCTCACCACCACACTAACTTTACCATTATTGGTTTCCCCAACAAGGATGGCCGGCCCTGGGGCCACCTAAGCGTGAGTTTGTTTAAGGTGTAGAAGCTGTCGCCAACACAGCAACCACACCCCGAGTTGCATGACCCAGTGTAGAGGAATAGTCCGAGAAGACCGGACGAGCAACTGCACTGGCTAACCATTACCCCGGTAACACGATCCGCAAATCGATTAACATCCAGGTCCTCAATTACTGCTGGGTAGACAGAGGCAAATGGCGTAAAGAAACTTGCCCATAGTTTCACCCTACCCGGTGGTCGATCCCGGGTCCCCACGCTTACGAGGCGAGCATGCTGACCATTACACCACAGGTCTTCACTGAGTCGTGCAGCTCGTTAACTCAGGGTGTATTTGTTGTGTTGGCAACAGCTTGTACACCTTAAGCAAATTCACTCCTTGGTGGCCCTTAGGTCGGCCATCCTCGTCACACGAGGAGCAACCACCACCACCACAACCTCCTCCTGTTTACACTCGGTAATTCTTCATTTAGAGGGACACGATTGAGTTGTATGTTGACTTGAATCCTATCGTGTGTGTTTACAGTCAATAGTAAGGTAGAGAAAACGAGCGGAGGTTCACAGTTGTTGACGTAAGAGTCTGGTGCCTGTTGTCTACCGCCCAGGGTCTCTCACAACACATTGCTACACTGACCAAAATTTGCTCTCCGTATATATTATACCGAGTGACCACAAACGATCCTCCAGGTTTAAACATTTATTATGAAAAATCTAACAAAGCAACAGCGAAAAGAACACAAGTTTTATTTCTCAAGCTATAAAAGTTCCACGTGAGCTCCTTTCTTTCGTGGCGGTACAGACATCAAAGCGATGTTGTGTTGTCATCTATGCTTTTTACAACATACCATACTGAACTTTTCTAACAGTGTCGTATATAATTTCCTTCATGTTACTGTATCGGTGGATATTACAGAACTTAGTGACCTGAGAATCATTACAATATGTTAGTCTCTTTATGTATCGCATGTGAAATGTGGATATTGCCTCAAGTATTTTATTATTAACAATAAAAGTTTTTTTTTCTCATTACTTAGCATTTGTTCACAATCGTCTTTTAAAGATTAAACTGTCTTGCCGTCTGAGATGAATGCTTTTGAGTGTGTGTGAGTGTGTGTGTGTGTGTGTGTGTGTGTGTGTGTGTGTGTGTGTGTGTGTGTGTGTGTGTGTGTGTAAAATAATGATGATAAATAATAATACTAATGGTTTATTGGAAAATTACAGCAGGCCGACCTCCTCCCTGCTTGACCTTCTAGGCCCCTCTCTCCTCCCCCCCAGGTCACTCTCCCCAGGCCCCTCCCCACCCCCCCCAGGCCACCTCCCCCCCAGGCCACGCACCCCACCTCCCCCACCACCCCAGGCCACCTCCCCACTACCCCAGGCCACTCTCCCCCACCTCCCCCAGGTCACTCTCCCCCACACCCCCCAGGCCACCTCCCCCCAGGCCACGCACCCCTCACTTCCCTCACTACCCCAGGCCACTCTCCCCTCACTACCCCAGGCCACTCTCCCCTCACTCCCCCAGGCCACTCTCACCTGTACCACACACCACACAGGTATTACTAGTCAGAGTGTTGATGTGTACAAGGTCACCTCGTCGCTTCCATCACCTGGTAACTAGTTCCTATTTGATCCCTAATTAACTTCAAAGACATTACCTGGTGATTTATTCCTCTCAAAATTTCTCAATGTGTTTCATCTTCCTTCTATCATTCGTTTTCTTCTTGTAGTTATTGTTGTTGTTGTAGTTTTTCCTTCCTTCCTTTTTTCTTTCCTTGCTTCCTTCCTTCTCTCATTCTTTTTGTTGTTGTTGTTCTAGTCCTTCCTTCCTTCCTTCATTCTTTCCTCCTCCCTTTATGTCCCCCCTCCTTCCTCCCTCCTCTTCTCGCATCCCTCCCCTCCTTCCTTCCTCCTCCCTTTACGCCCCCCCCCCTCCTTCCCTCCTTCCCCACCAGAGCAGTTATTAATTCACCAGGTTCAGTTTTATCTTCACCCAAGCCCTCACTCACTCCACTATTATAGACTGTTTGTGTTGGTCCGTGGAGAACTGCTGGTCTGGGGTGGCTTGGCAGCAGTGAAGAGGCAGCAGTGAAAAGATTAGACGCAGTAGTAAAGAGATTAGAGGCAGTGGTGAAGAGATTAGAGGCAGCGGTAAAGAGATTAGAGGCAGTTGTGAAGAGATTAAAGGCAGTGGTGAAGAGATTAGAGGCAGTGGTGAAGAGATTAGAGGCAGTGGTGAAGAGATTAGAGGCAGTGGTAAAGAGATTAGAAGCCGCACTAGTGAGTGTAGCCACAAGGACCCATAAAATGTGGTATCTGAGACAGAGAAACAGAGGAGACAGGTGTTGATGGGTGTTGACAGGTGTTGACGGCAGGTGTTGATGGGTGTTGACAGGTTTTAATGAGAGTTGACAGGTGTTGATGGGTGTTGACAGGTGTTGATGGCAGGTGTTGACAGGTGTTGATGAGAATTGACAGGTGTTGATGAGAGTTGAGAGGTGTTGACAGGTGTTGATGGGAATTGACAGGAGTTTATAAGAGTTGACAGGTGTTGATGGGAGTTGACAGGTGTTGATGGGAGTTGACAGGTGTTAATGGGAGTTGACAGATGTTGATGGGAGGTGACAGGTGTTGACGTGTGTTACAAGGTGTTGACAGATGTCGACCTTAAACACTTGATACCAAGGGATGATGATGTGGTAATTAATTCTCGAGTGTTTACGAGATCCAGCCACACTTAATGACCCTAATTAAGAGCCACTAATGTTCCTCAGGCGGCTGCAACCCACTTAATTATCACCTCGCTCCTCCCCGCCCCACCCCTACACCCCCTCGCCCCCCCCGCCTTCCCCATCCCCTACCCCGCCCCGTCCCTCACTTCCTACCCCGCCCCTCCCACACCCTACTCACACCGCCTCCCTGACCCACCTGCCCTCCCCCCCGGTCTTACTTCATGTTTAAGGTGTTTTTGGGAGGTCACTTTAGGTTCTGGGAGGAAAATTTTAAGATTTGTAGTTTAAATTAGGTTAGGATACCCCGAGTCAAGCACGGGTTACTTCAGGTGAGAGAGAGAGAGAGAGAGAGAGAGAGAGAGAGAGAGAGTAACACTCAATATTAACACAAATTTTAAGATAATATACATATATTTTTTTCACTTTTTTTTTCAATAATTAAAATTACCGAAAGAGATAAGACAAACAGGTGTTGTTGTTGTGGTCTGTTGAGCAAGATGACCTGTTGATGACCCGTTGATGACGTGTTGATGACGTATAGATGACGTATAGATGACCTGTTGATGACCCGTTGATGACGTGTTGATGACGTATAGATGACCTGTTGATGACCCGTTGATGACGTGTTGATGACCCGTTGATGACGTGTTGATGACGTATAGATGACGTATAGATGACCTGTTGATGACGTTTTGATGACATGTTGATGACGTGTTGATAACCTGTTAATGACCTGTTGATGACTTGCTGATGACCCGTTGATGACCTGAAGTGATGAGGGTAATTATAACACCGGTAAATATACTCGTATACAGAGAAAACAGTAGGAATAATTGGATCACCTGAAAATTAACCATTAACGCTACCTGGCGAGGGGTTAGGTTAAGGAAGGTTAGGTTAGGTTAGATTAGGTTAGGTTAGGTTAGATTAGGTTAGGTTAGGTTAGGTTAGGTTAGATTAGGTTAGGTGTGAATATCTCGGTAGATCACATACCACACACACACACACACACACACACACACACACACACACACAGTATAACAGAAACAGACAGACATACACCAACCATAAACCATTTAGTCAGATTCACCCTGACTGTCTCCTCTACATGCTAAGACTTACCTCGTGAGTGTGTGGCGACTAACACCCTACATATGGGTAAACTCACGCTCGTCCTATGTGTGCCCAACACTTATCCAGGTGTGTGTGTTGACGGAGAGGCCTAGCTGTTGCTCCTCTGGTGTTGTGTTGTGTTGTGGCTTATGTGACACAATGTTGCTGCTGTGTGTTGTGGCTTATGTGACACAATCGTCTTCTTAGTATATTATTTGTTGGATTTTGTCAAGGAGAAATGTATGAGGGTGTCTCTCATCTATCTATAACAATAGTAAGGAAGGATAAACAATAAAACAAAATCATTGTGACTAGGAAATATAATAGAATATAATATACAAATAGAAAAAAAAAAAATTTTGCTTTGGTCCAAAATGGGAGTGTCATGTGTGTGTGTGTGTGTGTGTGTGTGTGTGTGTGTGTGTGTGTGTGTGTGGTTGTGTGTGTGTGTGTGTGTGTGTGTGTGTGTGTGTGTGTGTGTGTGTGTGTGTGTGTGTGTGTGTGTGGCGCTGTGTGTGTGTGTGTGTGTGTGTGTGTGTGTGTCGTCAAAGGTAACCATGATAAGTTCTTCCCCTCAGTTGGTGACAGGAGAACACTACCGCTTCACTCATTAACTTTTCCTGGCTTCCTCAGTAACTGGTCATTGACTTTGATTGGTTGCTGGTTTAGTCATTAAGAGAGTTGACCCACCACAGGACAAACTGAAGTGTTTATTCAAGTGTGACAATATTCATTTGTATTGTATAAGATTGTGGATTTATGGTGATTTTCCACAACTTCAATTCATTTACATTGTATAATAGAGTACATTATAATCTGAGTACCATTGATAGTGGCATTTTATCATGATTTTTTTGTCATTATTATTGTCATTATTAATCTTATGGACGATCTGTCTGTCAAAATAATATTAAAGTTTCTTAAAAGTCAATCGTCACTACAGTGTGTTCTCTTATGCTCAGCTAAGAGGAAAGAAAATAACATAGGGATATTTGAGACTCTGGTCCCTGGGTAGTGTGGTGCTGCACATGGTGGGGACTCGAGTATCAGTCCTCACCATATAATAAGAGCAAACGGCTGTACATGAACAATATCACCATTGACGTTGTGGTCCAGAGTCACAGAGGTTCATAAGATGATCAGATCTCGTAAGTGATAGATGTAAGATAATACTAACCTGGTTGACTTAAGGTATAATACAAATATTACCTTAACTGAAAATAGCTGAGACCTTTTCCTCCAGTCGATTCATTCACTAAAATCAACTGGTAACAAAATTGAGGTAATGGATCTTTTTCATATAATTCTTTTTTTTTTTTTTTTAAGAATTATTTAGCGAATATATTTAGTTAAGAAAGACTCTCAGGGTCGTTTTATACTTTTACTTGTAGATATTTCTTGTGCTTTAGCTTAAGTTATCCAGTTAGGTTTTATGTTACATCTTCAGATATGAGGAATGATGATCTGTGATTCTTAACCCTCTGACACAAGATCAATTTTCAAGAAGACACAAAACTTTTTCATAATTTGTTATATTAATTAAGGAAATTATTTACCTTCTTCAATCGCAATTTAAAAAAAAAACAATCATTTTGACAACCAATAACTAAAAATGCAAAAAGTGAAAAAAAAAATTCTAGTTCATTTAAAGTTTATAAATAATATTTGTTTGTGTCTTCGACTTAAAACTATCAACTTATGCTCAAACTCACTGACACAATCACAAGACATCAATTCATCCATTATCTTTATCCTCGGACACCATCTCCCCCTCCTCAGGGATATTGTCTTCAGGTTTCTCTAAGGAATAAAAGTCAGTCAAGATGGAACTACTTTTGATAAGTTCTAATGCCCAGTCTTGATCACCACTTCTACCTGTCTTTCCTCTTCTCTCACTCTGTCTACTCGGACACTCTCTCTCATTCGTATCTCGTGTTGTGTCCGAGTCCTCGGCTGGACCTCTGCCAGAAGGACCATTCACCGCAGCCTTTTGGTCAGGACCAACTGAGTCGTTCCTTAAATCACTTAAGGCATCTTTAGTCTCAAGGTACCTGTCGCCACGGTACTTGTTAAACATCTTGCTGGTGTTCGTGTTGATCACGTACCCTGGCTGTCGTTTCCTGACGACCCCAAGTCTGAGGGAGCCGTACCTGTGGGTGTCCGTCAGGGAGGGGCTGGGAGGTGCCATGTTCCTGGAGGGGAAGTAGCCAGCCGAGGAGTGGTTACGTCTTACAGGATTACCCCGTGGGAGGTGGTCCCAGTGGTAGTTTTCCTCTCCCTGAAGGCTTGCATTGCTTCCTGCACGCACGAAGGGCTTAGGAAACTGAGCCGCTCTCCTTGAGTTGCCAGGAGAGGAGCAGAGGTAGGTGTGGACGGGTGATTCGGTGGGAGAGGTCGGAAAGTTAGAAATTTTATGCCGTGTTGATGGGCTGCCACAGTGTGGCGGCAGACGATAGTTAACACTTGGTTCCTCATAGAAATTTAATGGAGGAAGTATTGGCTCACGGACACTCCTTCTTGTGCCAGGAACAACGTGGTGATCAACCTCAACTCCTGGCGGGTAGTTGTTATCCTCCTGAGACACTTGACGCCGGGTAAGACTGTGGTAGTCACTCTCAGGTCTGTCAAGGTTATTCATGTGGCAAAGTGGGTGTTCTCGGGCGCTCCTCCTCCTTCTGGAGAGACTGTGATAGTCATTATTTTCTTTCTCAATGTTGTTGTGATGCTGGAGGTTGGGGTCCCTGGAGCTCCTCCTCCTCCTCCTCCGGGAGAGACTTTGGTAGTCTGGCTCTGGTGTCTCTTGGGTGAGTGGCGGCGGCAGGTTAGGATGATGTATGTAACTTCTTCTGCTGCTGGGAGAAGAAAGGTAATCACTCTCAGGAACGTCGATATTATTCTGAAGAATGTCTGAGCTACGAGAGTTCCTTCTCTTGCGTGACAAACTTTGATAAAAACTTTCTTGCCTTCCAAGACCGTTCAGTTGTTGTGGAGACGACCCATGAAGCTGGGGAGTTGATCCCTGGATGCGAGGATCTTGTAGTCTGCTCTGAGAGTTATATACCATTTGGTTTGCCTGACGAGGATCCAACTGTGTTCTGATCCTCACAAAACCATCCTCGTGTACCAACATGGAGGCGACGCTGGGTGGGCTGTAGATGGGTACCTGAGAAACCAGACTCGGGCCATAAATAGACACGTGTGAACCTGTACTGTATATGGGTATCTGGGAGGCTGAACCTGTCCGAAGAACTTGGGCATGAGTCATTGGAGGCCCATAAACCTGGCCTGGACCATACTGGTGTTGGGGCCCGTGGCTGAATGTGGCAGATCTTTTGACTGTAGCGCCACGTCGTCTGGGGGCTTTTGGGGTTCTTGAGGGTGGATCACAGCGTGTGGGTCCTGCCTCTGGGAAACAGGTGGTGTACTGGGTACTCTCGGTTCCACTTGAGAATGAAACTCTTTGATATATTACATTACCGTTTCTTTCCTTTGACTTGACTGCTTTTTCACTTCGTAGTAGACTTGAGGGAACCAAAAAGCTGTAGAGGAAGTGAATTTTTTCATCATATCGCTGAGTTAAGGCCGCAGCCACACACACTGTGACAGCCAACAGTGTCTCCACCAAACACCCAGAGATATGAAACAACCACCACGCCCAGGCAGGTACATGTGAGCTGATGAGGAACACTGTGTGAGAGAGATGAATGAGACACAAAAATGTGAGAAAGACAGCAGAAACGTTCATTGCTTTACACCAAAGATGCAGACGGCTTCTCAGTATGTGTTTGATACCCATCTGTCTGTCCTGTGATAAGTCTTTGGAAGGAACGACCAATAACTTTAGTTCCCCCTGAAACTCTCTCTTCAACATTTGAAACACCTGGACCACCATCTGATGCTTACGAGCGTAAAACATGACCACAGCTGAGGCCACAATAATCACCATCACTCTAGACAACACTAACACACTCTTGCTGTGCGCACATCCAACTATGACATCAGCAATAAAACACAGAACAAACTTCATGATAATAAAGATAGAAATATTTTGCATAGTAAAGAGCTTTGGTTTGTAAACTTGTACATCGGCAGTGAGAAACATCATTATCATTAAGATTAAGAATGCTGAAGAGAAACATGGAAGCCCTGTATTGGTTAACAGGAGGACGAGAACCAGAGGCAGTCTATCTTTGCTGCCGTACGCCAGGTGGAACAAGTACAGCGCCTTGAGGAACGACGCGATGAAAATGAGTAAGTGTACAGTAACGAAATGTGTCCGGGGGAGCAGATGTGTGCACGACTTCAGCATCAGGAGGCGGTACACAGCCAGGAGACTCAACCCGAAGAGTAAGAACCCCAGCAAGAAGTTTATAAGTATCCACGCCAAGTTCCTGTTACTACACAACAAAGCGTCAAACCAGGAGAGTCGAGGTGTTGCTTTGTATTGCTGTTGAGGTGTTTGTTGTGTTGCCAAAGTCTCATTCTGCAATACGTCCGTGTAATTGTTGTTATGCTCAGAGGGATACTTCCTTGGTGAGGTGTTGGTATCTGCCCCAGCATCGCCTCTTCTGGTTATTTCCGGCTTCCTGTTATCATTGTAGAAGTCACTATAATGTCCTTCATATAAGTCGTATAATTCATGGTCGTATTCGGACACTTCCAACATTTTCTCTATATCAGTCGGAGTCGCTCTGCCATCACTTCTGGTGGTCGGGTTGTTGGAGATGGAAGCTTCTTCATCTGATTCATGATGTTCATTTTTAAACTTATTTCCTGCGGTACTTGACACATTTACTGACAATTTAGTACCTGATACATTTCTTCTCCCAGACAGAATATCTTCATCTCGTCCATCAGCAACATAGTCGTAGTGAGGATTCTCGCTCAATGCTGTTGTTCTCTCTATCCTGTTGTTACTCCCACTGCTGGAAGATGTTATCACGCCTGGCCGTCTAAATGGTGGGTAGCTCTTGGAGGACGAGCCTCTGTATGCCACATCCTTGAACACTTGTGCAATCTCCTCTTCAAACTGACTCGTCATAATCTTCATAATCTGCTTCTCTCTATCTGTCGTGGCGCCGCCAGGTCCACTCTTGAGCCAGCCGGACACATCAGCATGACCTTGACGGGGACGGTGGAGGTAGAGGAGTGAGTCAGAGGCCAATACGGTGTCTGACTCAGCTGATCTTCGCATCACTTGATTTGTTAACAATGACAACAGTGGATGAGCGACATAAGGTTTTAGACTGACATCAGACGCCTCGACTGATGATTCAAAATACTTGGGCGTCAAAACCTTTGAGTCTGCCTTACTTTTACTTGAGTGTGTAAGGCCCACTGTCGTTAAAGCTTCAGAATATAAACCTGCAATAATGGGTTTCAGATCTGGTTTTCTAAACCTTGACCCTGAAGCTTCCGAAGCTGCTGACTTGGTTCTAAGATCAAGTTTCAGGTCCTTGCTTGTCGGAGTCGTGAACTGACCCTGGGGAGACGTGAGAACAAACCCATGGTGAAGGTCTTCTGTCGTCAGCGGTGCACTTTGACCATCAGGAACTGAAAACAGAAACTGAGACTCCAGATCTTCCAAGGTCGACTGAGTATGTGGAGTGGAAGGACGAGGTTGAGGGGCCACAGTGTCTCCTGGGACGGACGTCGTGGAGATAATGTGCAGCGTGGCCGTCGTGGAAACGGTTGTTTGCACAGGAGTAGTCGTCGAGATGGTGTACACACTGGCAGTCGTGGAGTCGCTGCACACAGTGGCCAGCATGGAGAGACTGCACAGGACCCAGAACGTCGCCACTATGAGGGTCCGGAGTGTCGAGGGTCCAGCCATCTTGCCTCAACATCTCGCCTCCAGGGACACACAGCGGCACCTGCAACACAACAACTCTGTTAACATTAACCAGACCGACTGTGGTGAACAACACCAACATACCACAAGTCAGGTGTAGTGAACAATACTCCCACAAGTCAGGTGTAGTGAACAATACTCCCACAAGTCAGGTGTAGTGAACAATACTCCCACAAGTCAGGTGTAGTGAACAATACTCCCACAAGTCAAGTGTAGTGAACAATACTCCCACAAGTCAGGTGTAGTGAACAATACTCCCACAAGTCAGGCGTAGTGAACAATACTCCCACAAGTCAAGTGTAGTGAACAATACTCCCACAAGTCAGGTGTAGTGAACAATACTCCCACAAGTCAGGTGTAGTGTAACAATACTCCACAAGTCAGGTGTAGTGAACAATACTCCCACAAGTCAGGTGTAGTGAACAATACTCCCACAAGTCAGGTGTAGAACAATACTCCCACAAGTCAGGTGTAGTGAACACACTCCCACAAGTCAGTGTAGTGAACAATACTCCCACAAGTCAGGTGTAGTGAACAATACTCCCACAAGTCAGGTGTAGTGAGTCAGGTGTAGTGAACAATATCCCACAAGTCAGGTGTAGTGAACAATACACAAGTCAGGTGTAGTGAACAATACTCCCACAAGTCAGGTGTAGTGAACAATACTCCCACAAGTCAGGTGTAGTGAACAATACTCCCACAAGTCAAGTGTAGTGAACAATACTCCCACAAGTCAGGTGTAGTGAACAATACTCCCACAAGTCAGGTGTAGTGAACAATACTCCCACAAGTCAGGTGTAGTGAACAATACTCCCACAAGTCAGGTGTAGTGAACAATACTCCCACAAGTCAGGTGTAGTGAACAATACTCCCACAAGTCAGGTGTAGTGAACAATACTCCCACAAGTCAGGTGTAGTGAACAATACTCCCACAAGTCAGGTGTAGTGAACAATACTCCCACAAGTCAGGTGTAGTGAACAATACTCCCACAAGTCAGGTGTAGTGAACAATACTCCCACAAGTCAGGTGTAGTGAACAATACTCCCACAAGTCAGGTGTAATGAACATGTGACTAATACTTAAGTCTTAACCTACATTATTGTCTCGTCTAACACACTGAAGTTGGCTAATTATAGATATGACTTCCAAGTTTGTGTTATAAACTGTGTGCTGTGACAGACGGGAGGGGGGCGGGTTGTAAGATACACTAATGGACGTCTTGTGTGTCAGACGTCTTGGAAATACATTATTATACTCTATACATATACTCTTATATATATCATCATCATCATCGTCTACATTTCACTTCAGCCTCTCTCTCTCTCTCTCTCTCTCTCTCTCTCTCTCTCTCTCGCGTGAACACTTCCAACAGACCTCTAATGTTTCTCACACTGACCAACAACTATGTGAAGAAGTTTTATCGCCGCGGTAACTATTCTTCTTTTCTTCAGTTTACGATGTTTTGATGTTGGTGATGTTGATGATGTTGTTGATGTTGTTTGTTATGAGAGCAAGGTTATGTTGGGTTAGGTTAGGTTAGGTTAGGTTAGGTTAGAGAGAGAGAGAGAGAGAGAGAGAGAGAGAGAGAGAGAGATGAAATTTAAGAGGTTACTTCAGGACTTTGTGAAGAGGCGTTGACAAGTTGGATATTTACTGCAGTTTCACACTTAAGCTCCTGAGTAATGATGAGAACTTCCATGAAACTCGCACACTCTGGTGATGAATGTGGAAATGACGTTCAGGATGATAACTGTGGAGATGGTGTAATAGAGAATAAGAATAATAACAATGTTGTCTATCTCTCTAACTGGTTGATAAAGTTAAATGTATCTGAGATAAATTTTAGAGTCTCTGTGTTAATTCCATTTCCTCGCTCGTGTCAAGAAAAGGTTTCAAGTTAATTTAAAATCATTGTGTAATATTAATGTAATTTTGGACTTTATTCTTAAGTCAGCCTGTTTCATTCGTTCTCCCATCACTAGCTTGAGGAGAGGGGAAGGAGGGAACGTTTTTACATTCTCTCCTCACCAAACCCACCTTTGTACCGTAGTTTAATTAAGGTCAGGTGTAAGCCAGTGGGAGGAAAACTCATCAAAAAAATCGTTAAGAATTCATGTCCAATTCTTTCTGCTTCTTGACGCTGGATTACGATGACTTTACCCCTTGAATACGATGACTTTACCCCTTGAATACGATGACCTTACCCCTTGAGTACGATGACTTTACCCCTTGAATACGATGACTTCACCTCTTGAGTATGATTACTTCACCTCTTGAGTATGATGACTTAATCTTGGCAAGGCAAAAACGCAAGAATTTCTTTACGTGTCAGTCAGTGTTGCCAAAATCCTGACCCAGCGACACTTGGTAATTAATATTGACTTAAACAGAATAACGATTATATTTATATTTTTCTGTTTTATTCGTGTTTTGTTATTTATTTGTTTTATTTGCGTATTTTTTGTATGTGTTTTGTGTTTGTTTCTTCGTGTGTTTGTGTGAGTTTTTGTAGTTCTTTTTTTCGTGTTTATTGTGTGTTTTTGTGTTTGTTTTATTCGTGTTTTTATGGGGATGTTTTTTGGTGTTTGTTTTCAAAGTTTGTTTTATTCAAGCTTTGTTTTCTTAAGTAGTTTCATCGTGTTTGTTAATTGTTTTGTTTTATATTATTTTTTCTTTGTTTATTCTTTGTTATTATCATATTCGTAAAAATCACAGTCATATACATTCTTCTTCTTCTTCTTCCCACCTTTATGGCCGAATTAACTGATAACCTGCTAACCTAATGCTGTTCAATTTACCCACCTAACCTAACCTAACCTAACCTAACCTAACCTAACCTAACCTAACCTAACCTAACCTGATCTAACCTAACCTCACCAACAAACATCATCCAGTTTTCTCTACTTCTCTCCTTCTTAATTTACTTCTTATTTTTATTCCCTCTTGTCTCTTCCTACGTCTCTCTCAATCACAATTCGGCGGCTGTCTCATGAGCGCATTGCTATATCTGCGCTGCGCCAACGAGTGATTAGATTTCTGTTGTCGACGACGAGGAAGGTTGCCAGGCGTGTTTTTGTTGACTTTGGATGGAGTTTCTTTGTCTGTCTTTGTCTTTTGTTTGTTTTGGTGTGTTTGTGTGTTTGTTTTAGTTGAAGTTGTGTTGTAAAGTTGGGGTCTTTCTGGTAATGTTTTTTTTTTATTGATGATGATGATGGTAATTGTAATAATAGTGAGTAGTTATGTTGGAATTAAGTATATATTCACACACACACACACACACACACACACACACACACACACACACACACACACACACACACACACACACACACACACACACACACACACACACACACAGTACCTGCCGACAAAAATTACCTGAAATTTATTACCCCAGAAGCACACTAAAGACAGATTAATTAAATAATTTAATAATATTACTCCTGTAAAATATGAAAGAAAATAGAGATTACAATTCTTATCCGTCACCAAGTACAAAGAAATTCGGAATATTATCGTTATCAACATATTTTAGATCCTAGTAAAAAAAATATATATAATAATAATAATAATAATAATAATAATAATAATAATAATAATAATAATAATAATAATAATAATATTCCTCACACTGTAAAAGCCTGGATTTATTGTATCATTTACTTGAGGATAATGAAGACAAAATTAACTATTTTTTCTGTCCATTTTTTGTTAAAGTAGAAAATCTTTTTTTTTTTTTGTTTACCTGACAAGAAAAGTTATATATTTTTCTCCAGTGTATAAAAAAGGTAAAAAAAAATCCCTCCAGTGTATTGAAAAGCTAAAATTCAGTATCAGCTCATAAATGCCAAAAGCACAGGTAAGGTATAGCTTTTGTAATCGTGTGACTCTCAGCAGTACAGAATCCCCACCTAGCTGATAATCCTAACCATAAAAAGAAGCTATGATTTTCTACACACTTTAGCTTGCAAACATCAGAATCAGAATAAACAACTAAATTTAGCTTTTACCGCCATCAAAAAACACAGAAAGCTAAAGTAAAAAAAAATCCCAGTCTTATTACCAACTTTCAACAGCTCTGATTCACCTTAGCTTTACCTCATGAACGACGAAGGCAGTAAGAAAGTTAAGTTATCTAAAGAAAGAACTAGAAGCTTAATTTTGCTTTCTTTTTATCGTCTAAACATAGAAAGCTAAATTAAAGAAAAAACTCATCTTATTTACCAAGTTATGATCCACTTTAGCTTATGAACGACGAAAGCAAAATAAAAGTCGAGGTATTTTTTTTAGTCGTACTTTCTCTGTAATTTGCAAAGCCTCTTTCTCTCTCTCTCTCTCTAGAACTTTCTCCGTTTTTAAAAAATAGTAGAAAGTTGGAGAGAAGCAAACTTTGGGAGGAAGGGAGGGAGAGTTGGTTCTGCCCTGGAGGTATCCTTGACGAGGAGCGGAGTATATTGACTTCATTGCTAAGGGAAGGTGTGTGTGTGTCGTCTCTCTCTATCTCTCAAGTTCTATCTTCCTTCTTTGACTTTCCAATTTGTCGACCATTTCTCAGTCGAGACAATTCCTCCTTCCCCTACACACACACACACACACACACACACACACACACACACAGGCACACACACACACACACACATACACACATACATACACACACACACACACACACACACACACACACACACACACACACACACACACACACACACACACACACACTATAGCCAACAAACTGGACTGGAAGACCCATGTAAATAACACAGTCAAGGCAGCCTCGTACTGACTCTACATGCTACGACGACTCAGGTCACTTGGGACACCCACGCCAGAGCTGAGGACTATCTACAACGCCTTAACTCTCCCCAAACTAACGTATGCGTCACCAGCCTGGTCGTCTTCTCTCAACTCCACCCAACAACGTCGGCTAGAGAAGGTACAGAAAAGGGCCTGCAGAATCATGCTCGGCGCAGAATACTCCGACTACATCAACGCTCTCTCCACCCTGGAAAGGCCATCCC